TACCAGTGTGGTGGAATTTCTGCTTATTTACGACAGCGAACATGAATAAAATTCAACTCTTCGATTTTGAAGACACAAGTTTTGACTTTCCTTTCGTCTTCTCAACTACGAGGAGTAAAAACACATTTCTGGTAGTAGTAGAAACCCGTGCTCGCTTCTCATTGGTGCCGGATGACATCATTCGGTTCGGCGCGAAACCGGGGTGTTTACAAATTTGCGGAAAAGTTGCGCTGTTTGAAATGCGTATCTTGCGGTTTCTAACTTTCTTTTTCACATTTTTAATTTGCGCAACGTGTTCCAAGCGTTCTTTACCTTTGCAAAAGTATATATTCGCAAGTCAAAATTCACTCATGGTTAAGTGACCCATTCTGCCGTTCTAAGGAAAAACGCCGAATGAACAGTCGAGAGTTGCCAAATTCCCCCAGATCAAACATATATTTTTGAGAACGATTATTTATACATGAGACATTTTACACAAAATTGTGAACAAAATTGTTTGGAAAAATGGAAGAAAAAAATCACGATTTTCCTAGTAAATTAAGGGTTTATTGGAGGAAATGTGGCAACGTCTGAAGGCTCATACAGGCGTTCTTCCTTAGCACGGCAGAATTGTTTCAGCAACATCCCTCCGACATTCTTTGCACATGCCCGGCATTAACTACCGCATCATTAACATTAACTACCGTATCACTAAGACCGTAATATTCGAAATTTCTGTAATTGTTGTTTTAATAATTATTGTATTATGGCATGAGGATACCAGTCAGAGCGAGTAGAAGCCACACTATTTATAATTATACTAACAGTTCTAACTTCTTTACCATTCATTATTAGTTTAATATGTATTAACATGACGTATAATTATCATAATTGCCGTAATGTGTGTTATTTTTAGAAATAGTGAGTGCGCACAATTTGACTGGGGTCTTTTTCTCTTGCACCCGACGTTAAGCAGCGCGCCGGTTATACCTCCGTTGCCCTTAATGACACTCCTCCTCGCACTCCAAGTTTCAAGTTTAAAAACTCGTGATCGAAAATGGACCGAAAGTCCCGACGAAACTCCGCAGTTCCGAAGTTGGAAATTTTCTTGATGAGGAAACAATAAAAAATCGCAGCGAGTTGCAGGGAGCCCCTCTTATGCGGCCACTCGAGTATAGTCCCTTCCGAAACTTGGACGGGGGAGCGCGACAGGTGGAAGTTGAAAAAGGTGGCCGTCCTGCAGGAGGAATAGGTAAATTAACCTCAAACGAAAAAACCTTACCTCGCGAACCGGCAACCCTGCAACGAGCGGCTGGAGTAAAAAGTTCAACTTAGATTTATCATTCATCGTCTCCAAACTTTCGCGCACTTGCTCTCTCTCGCGGCTCTGTTCTCTGCAGTGGCGTGGCGTGCTTTGCGATTTATCGATTGATCTGCCGTTTAAACCTATGGAAAAGGATCGATTAACAGGGTGTCTGCAACGAACACCTAAATAATCGATTATTTGCCACAGCTTCAAATTGGGAGGTATCGATAATAGATCACACCGAAAAAAATCCTAGGCGTTTTTACCAAGGTCCGTTGGTACCTTTACCATCTCATTTTTTTTACCAATTATTGGTAAGCCTACCAAGACACATTGGTAAGCTTACCTAAACACCGGTATTTTTACTGTTTTTTTTTTTTTTTCAGTTAAGAATACCACTTTTATATTGGTATCCATTCCCGGTAACTTTGCCATTTTATCTCGGTAATTCTACCACAGTCGATAAAAAATATTGGCGTTTTTACCAAGGTTCAGTAAAATTACCGAGAAAGTTCAATAATTTCACCGAGATTTCTCGGTAAAATTAAATTCCATTAATGGTAATTTTACCAAGAAGAAACTGGGATCAAATAGAACCCTGAGTTTTTGGTAATTTTACCCTTTTCTTAGTAAATACACCGAGATTTTTTTTCAGTGGGAGATATCGAAAATCGATCTTTCACGCCTCGCTACTGGTTTTCTGATTTGCTGAACGAACTCTCCGATGCTCAAAATTCAACCCCCCTCCCGGGTTTAATGCCCCCCCGCCCTTGGTCTGCTCTCGTGATTGGAGAAGCGACAATCATATCGAATCCTTTAAAATGGATTTATAATTGGAGCTTAGTGTGATGACCGTACTCGCCTCGTCGCGATTGCGATGGAAAGTTAGGTTACTGGTGATTTCTGCTAGAATTAATTTAATTTTCCGGAGTGAGCAGAAGCGAAACGCGGTTCCTTGACCCGCGCAAACTGTCACGTAGCTCAAGAAAAGGGTGAATTTGTCGCCACGAGACGCCGAAACTGTTGGAAAAGCTTGTTGGATAAACGGGTTTGTCGCGCAACCGAATAGCGGATTTGAACACCCGTGCATATTTGGAGTGTTTGTTCTAAGCCATCAGAAATGGGCCTGAGGCGAACTTCAGCTAGAGTTGTGTAAAAATAATAATGAAGAGGACTCACTTGCACTTTTTATTTTATTAAATTCGAGTGCGTTGCGAGGGCTTTGCCCTCATTGGCGATAAAGTGCGACTCCTTCTGCAGCTAGAGTTGTCTCCAGGAGTAGTCTTTGGAAATGGCTAAAAAATCACGATGAGCGCATCGGGAAAGTTTGAAACACACTCCCAACTTCACAATTTGCTGAAGAATTATGCGTTTTTTTCAGCTTCCCGCTTCTAAAACCATACTACGGCACATGGCCATCCAACCCTGTTGCTCTAGGATGCTACGCAATTTTCATCATGGCTGACCTTCCGCGCGCAAATCGTGAAGAAGCACCATGACCTTTACCAGCGCAAGGAAAATGTAGGCATAAACCCGCCGGTCAATAAAATTTCATCTCGTCACGTGTGTTTTGGCGGGTTGGGGTCGGCTATGTTGAATACTATTGCGTAGCATCATAGTGCGTAATGGTTTCGAAGTACTGTTTCGACGATGGAACGACTTCTTTACTCACGAAAAGTTTACTCGTGCCGTTCTTTGATTTTTGAAGCGGGAGGCTTCAAGAAGCGCATATTTTTTATTAGACAGATGGAGAATTGACATGCAAATTTTATTGCCTCATCTGAAAGTGCTAAAAGAGCTGATTTCCTGGTATTTTTTATAATTTTTTCCTGATACGGGAAATGGGCTAAAAAGAGATTTAAAAGTGAGAAAATGTACGGCCTAGTGACGTTATCTGGCGGCATTTCCCCTTTAAACACACGTATTTTAGCAGATTAGATCATTTTTAATATCCTCTCTAATAATTGTTCAATTCGTGAACCAAGGGTATCCTCTTGTTCAGTTCACTCAGTAGTAACCACTTCAACATGAAATTCATCAAATTTTAGACCCCTCAAATTCTCTATTGTGAAGTTAGGAGTGTATTTCAGACTTTCCCGATGCGCTCATCGTGACTTTTAAGCCATTTTATTGAAGGAACAACTCTTCTTTTTGCTCTGGCTGAAGTTTTCAACAGGCCAAGCAGCAAGCAGCGCGTTCTACCAAGCTCTCACTAGGCCCGCCACATCCCATCTCGGGCCCTGGTACCAGTTTTCTGGCCCGGGCCCCTAGCACAGAGGGGGGGTCCGGGGGGCCTCCCCCGGCAAATTTTTGAAATTTAAAATCTATTTGGACGGATTTTGAAGCTCTTATGATGGAGATTTTCCATCAATATCTGCAGAATAATTACGCCGTTTTTTACTTTCAGCACCAAATACTTTCGAATTGTTGCATTCAAAACATCTATAAATTTTTTTTTGAGGGGGGCAGATGATACTTTTCAATTCTAGGGGAAGCCGGGCCCCCTAGACTCCCCCTTCATACGTCTATGGCAAGGGAGTTGAGCCATTGAAGTCGAGGATGCCTAGACATCAGGAGCCCCTTAGCATCCGACAACGGAAGAAAATGAAACGCAGTTACTAAAAATACCATTCTACATATACTCAAAATCTTGAGATTAGATAGAAATCTCTAAAAAAGTAAGACAAATTTTATAGTGCCCTAGCGTGTTTTTGAAACTTTAGGGTAATGTTTTCACTTTTCCTTGCGAGACAAGGGTTACACATGAATTTGTAGTGGTTTGTCACCTGCGTCACGGGCCCCTCCAGGGCCCGGGCCCCGGTACCAAGGACCCAGTATCCCCCCCCTTGTGGCGGGCCTGCGGTCTCAGTTATTCCAGTACGTTTAAAACTTGACAGCGCCGCACCTTCATTTTAAATTGATAAAACCTGTAACGTATAACGAGTGTTAGCGGTATCAACATCACCACCGAGTGCGCTTCAGCGTGTTTCTTTTCACGTGCACTCCTGAACTGAGCTCCTAGTTGCACCTTGTTATTTTGAATGCTAGCATGTGGATGACTTGTCTGCCATTCGATAACTCAGCCGGCGCAGAGTTGTTGTGTTGTGCTGGAAACCTCCTCACCTCGTAGAGGATACTAGAAGCTCAACCTCTCTAATTGGTCCTCGACCAGGGATCAAAGTTCCCCGGGGAACTGAAAAATTCTCTATCTGCAACGGCAGTTATAAACTTTTAAGGAACTCGTAAATATTGAAAAGACAACACTTAAAAAGGAAGCATTAAAGTTCATGATTTAGGAAACCTCTTTTGGGTATTTTACGTAAAATTTACAGGAGTTAAAATTCAAGTAAGACAATTTTTCATAAAAGAACAATCCTCCTCCTGGAGTATACTCTACTGTACTCTCTCCTGGAGTAATACTCTAGTTTGTAATTAATACTTAAAATGTTAGAAAAAAAACAAATTTAATAAAAAACTCAAAAAAGTTTCATTTTTGTAAATTTTTCTTCGTAATTTTACCCAAAAAAAGAGTTTCCTGAAAGATGATTTCTATCTGGTTTTTTCAAAGCTTTAATAAGTGCTTTTGAGCGGTTATTAATGCAGGAGCTTCTGGCCCTGATCGGAAATATCTTTTAAAGCAAATAACCATTTTTCCTCAACAATCCACTTGTATTCTGTAATTATTTACCCTTACCTTTTCTTTCCTCTGTTTCAGGATTCTTCGATTCCGCAATCAATTTTACGAGATACCTCGAGATGGTTCGTAAACGGAAAATCGACGGGCCGACCTACTCAAACTATGCCCTCATTCGAACTCAAACGGCTTCAATCTTCAGTTCCGCTAAGTCCGTCAATCACCCTTCGGCTTATGTGCGGATGAATCATATCTAACAATAATTCATTCATTTGCTCACACAAATCCGTTATCATACTGATTAGTTGGGTTGCTCAGGTTAGTTTTTACAAAAAAATGTAGGTTTTATTATTTAACCTATCCGTCATTGCTTGAAGCATTCTCTCGTTCAAGTTCAACCAATCTGTGATATTCTCGATAGAAAAAATCCCGTTTCGTTGTATTTCAATGATTTTTAAAGAAATTCCAAGCAACTTTTTCTTCTGAACGCACCGATGCAAATTAAACTTTGTCCATAACAATTTAAATGAAGCAACCCTTGCGCAGAGTCTGACCATTCTGCAGTTTTTAACGCAACAATCAATTCTCTGCTTACGTTGTACACGGATTCTACCATCAACTATTGCTACTCTAGTTCGTTCGCTCAAACTGATCCGGAACTTCACCGGTAAACACTGTGCTTTCATTACAAGTGAATACTACCTAAAACTAATAATTTAATTTATTAATACCGACGATTCTGGAACTGGATTTTTTCTCGATTCGTCTCCGCGAGTGCAAATTCGAAGTTTTCGGTTTTTCGGATTACGGATTTCTCGGTCCGGATCGCGATCGGAGTGTGAGGTGTCGGTATTGTGTTGGCGGATGTGTTGGAGGTGACTCGGGGGTCGGCATAGTGCTGCTAGCGGCGGGAACTAGCGGAGCGAGGATGGCGTGGCGTTGAGACGGAGGAATGGATGACTATGGGCGGCGAAGAGGGTGACAATGTTGTCATGTGTCCTCCTGGTCCAGATGATGTTCATCGTCGCCAGCGCTGCCCCGCGATACAGCTCGCGGATCGTCAACACCCAGGCCGGAGCTGTCAGAGGGGTGAGTTACCTCTTCTTCTCTCACTTATACATGAGCACCAGTGTTCGAAATTCACCTTTGAGTTTCAGGAGCCATGAGGTCCATCAAGCTCGATTTTTAGGGGCCAAATTGACTTTTTGCCTATATATCACGGCGCATTTAGTGAAAAGTTAGAATCCGGTACCGTGTGTAGAAATTTTAAAAAAATCACCTAACAGAAAAATTAGGATTTTTCTTGAGGGGGAGGGCAATTTTTAGGGGCCGCGTTGGCGCAGAGCCTTCATTCTTTAGGCGCCATGACCGATTTCTTAGGTGCATTTGGCGCGCTGGCGCCTGTGAGTTTCGAACACTGATGAGCATTGTTAATGAATCATTTTTATTTTTTGTAATGCTTTAAAGCGGGGAGAAAAACATGTTACGAAGACTTCGTCTTGACCTATAGGCTTGGGGCAAACGGCAAAAGATCCCCGTCTTCACCAGTTGCAAGCGGGCATTAAGGTTCATCTACAGCCTCGAAAAGTAAGAAATTTCTTCGCGCAGGGGGCGCCTCCGCTGTGGTTTGAGTTTTTGGTTCACGCCATTAGAGTCCTTACAGCTCCACGTGAGTCCTTGAGCTATTATTAAAATTAAAGGAATTTCTGTTGAAATCGAACAGTCACAAGTTCTGGCTATAATATTCCTCTTTCTATTGACTCTAGAAAGGACATGAAAAGATTGAGTTCTTGAGATATTATTTAAACTTTTTCAATACGAACGTGGTTTATCCTTCGTTCTTAAACTTTCTCCTCTTAATTTATTTTCTTTTTTAATCTTAGTAGACCTTGCACTTTGAACAAGGTCAGCAAGAACCCTCTCCTGGATTCAAGATCCGCTTGTCGCTGAAACTAGAATGTGGCTTTGAAGTCCACTCAATCTATCATCCCAACAACAAATGACCTAATAAAATCCACAGCCTCTGTTGTTTTTTGTTCAAAAAAGGGTGAAACAAGCCGAAGAATGCGAATTATGAATTCAGCGGGAACGGCAGACAAAGCAGATGAGCAAGCTGGCGCCAAATCTTTACCCCTCCGACGCAAAAGCGTATCTCCATTTTAACTTGAGCCCTGGGAATCATATGGTTTTATAGACAATAGGGCCCACTCCAAAACTGAGTTATGTCAGAGGGGTGACGGACGAATGGACGAGACGTAAAAAAAGAAGAAGAAAAAAAAATAAAAACATTTTAATGCGAAACGAGGGCAAGACGAGAGACTGAGACAAAATAAGTAAATTAAACCGGGCGGACGGGGGAGGGGGGCAGAAAGTGCAAATAAGTCCTCTTTGAATACGTAACAAATGTTTCATTAGGTAATTTAAATTTCCCGACCAAACACCGGGAGCTTTATGAATGACTGTTTTGTTTCTTTGCCCTGATTCCCTGCATTTTAAGTCTCGCCTCCTCCTCGCCCTCCTTTTAGTGCTCCCTTTTTATAAACCTGCCAGTTATTTTTAATCTCCCACGGAATAATATTTGACTTAATGAAGAGACCTTCAGGTCTGATACAGAGCTCCTTCCTTTGAAATTGCTTCGCTCAAACTGGAAACAGATGAGCTTTTTGCGGCGATTAAGTTGCCACTGAACTCGCAGTAATCAAAGGCACGATGTGGAATTGATGATCTAGAATAGTTAATGCGATAACGTTTCTCGCGAACAATTCTTAAGGATATTAACAAAATAATTGGTTTTAATTGAAATGATTAACGAGTCTTTGCATTAGATTGTCATGAGCTCCCGTTCGCATTTTTTCTGAAAATGAAGTTGTGCTCATAGCAAACGCAATCTCGAATCCACTTTTTTTGTTTCGTAGGCTAGGTAATAACCTTTTAGTACCAAGCCGTATAATTATCGTCATCATCTACAAAGATCCCTTCTCAAATGATTTAGTTAACTCTCCAAGAAAGAAAATCGTTGATTTTTCCATTAGAATGTGTTTTACTTCAATATTCTCATGATAAATGGACGAAGCTTGAGCCTGATTTTCCCAAAAAGACATATAATTCTCTTTCGTGCTCGAATATATAATTTGTTTTCTAATGCTGTCCTACTCCTAAGGCCCCTTTAAAATTGCCAACCATTAGGTAAGGTTAGGTTAGGTTAGGTTCCTAACAATTCTAAGGTTTCCTAACAATTTCAATGTCTGCACTCTGTAATGTAGAACCAAATAGTATAGACAGGCTTGAGAAACATCTGTAATACAAAACTTACGAAATTTGAGCTTGAAAATTGGCCGGACCCTCTCCTGTACTGCAAGATTTCTAGTAAGGAACCTACTTTTTCGTAGATTTCCTTAAACAAAGCACGAACTGAGTTCTGAATAATTTGTAATGAAAACGAACGCTCAGAAAATTCCATTAAAGAGCTTCGAGATAGGCGATCATTATTTCGCTATATACAGCTCTCTATATTTCCCTTTATCCTTTTGTTTCCTATAATCTCAGTTTACTTCCCGAAGTACACTCAATCTCATCTCCCTGTCTAATTTGTTCGCAACTCTTCAAATTTTCAACATGCACCAAGTTTGCGAATGCTAAACCACTCGTCATTGAATTGGCGGGATTCGTCGAACCGCTCGTTAGAAGTTGCATTTCTAGTCTCCGTTTCACCGAGTGGATGAGAGAAAAGTTCGTCGGGCAAATCCGCAATTCTCCGCAACTTAGAGAAGAAAGAATCCGGAACGATTTATTTGTCAAGAGAATGCGGTCCGTAAGACTTTGAGACGGAGTCATCCTCTCTTTTGACAAGCAAATTGGATAAATTGGTTTCATACCTAGTCTTCCTCGAAATGATTCGAGATATTACTCCTTAGCGGCTCATCTAACATCTTTTATTTTATTTTACTTTTTTAGATTTTATTGATATAGTAGACTACAAGAGCCTGATTGTTAAAACGTTAACTGGCTATTTCGGCAAGATAAGACGAGGCATAGCTCTATCTGCGCCGTATACTACATATCGACGGTGAAAGTCGGCAATCACATAACTCGGTTTGCGACGTCGCAGACTTCCTGTCATACTTTATTTTTTAAATGGAAAACTACTCAACGGCAATTCTTTAAAACTGTCATGATTTTTCTTCTCAATGCGAAGAAAATTCTGCAAAAACTTCAAGAAATAATATCAATTTGTTCTCCTTTAAAAAAATGACGTAGAGGCGGAGATTTTCAGACACCGCAAACGAGTTATGTGATTGCCGACTTTCACCGTCGATATATCGATTTTCGATTCTTGTCGTGCCGATATAGGTAAACATTTCGGTTTACATCGAACACCAACCTTTTTAGTCCAGAAAAAGTTACCATTTGGCCACCATTAAAGTTACTCTTCGAAAGTAAATTTTCAGTGGTTGGAGACCAGTCGTCTATGGGAAAATTTGTCCTCAGACCCGGCTCTCATAAATTCAATTCGCCAACAATGCGGGCCGGTTTTCTCGTTACCTTTCCACTCCTGCATTTCAGTCGGTTGCAAACTTTTTTGCGTTAATTAATAATGAATAGGGCTGTGCTCACGTATGATGATGATACGTTCTCGTGACGTCACTATTGATTTTTGTTTCGACTCGGCTCATTCTAAATTCATGCCGGAGAATTGAATAGGCCAGGCCCCTGAGCGAGTGAAAGGAACTGGCTTATTTCACCACTCCGTCAACACAAGCGAGCACGAGTGAAGGTTGTCAAATTAAGAGGAATACAGACTCACGAAAATTCATGAAGACGGACGATCGTGGTTTATCTTTGAATTAGGGGTCGCCTCTTCTTCTTTGGGTGAACTTTCGGATGTTAGGAAAATATTTATCAGGGTATCTACAAGTCCGAAATATTCGGAAATAGTACTGATTTTCTAAGGGCGGTCCGGTAGTACTGAAAAAGTGCGCAAACTCCGGAAGAAGGTCCGGGTTTTTTCATTTTTGTCGCAATTTAAGCGAGAAATTCAATTTTTTTTTAAATTTTTTGAATTTCGTCAATTGGAGGCACTGAAAAAGTACTGATTTTTTCCGCTGAGGAGGTACCGAATTTCTCGGGAATGTACTGAAAAGGTACTGTAGAAGTACTGACTTTTGGGCAGCCTGTTTTAGTAGACACCCTGTTTATTTATGCAGAAATCATATATGTATATGTCGCAGGCAATTAGTCAAATAAGGCATTTTATCAAACGCCTACGCAGATAGCCAAATTTTGATAGTTTAGGAAACTTTGTAAATTTACGGTGAAGAGGTAACGATTTTTCGATATTTAAGGGAAAATAACTTATCAAATTTACGAACTCCCCTTGTTCCTTCCTCCTCAATTGATGCCTAAATATTTGAATGGTAAAATTTTGAAAATGTCTGTATCTTAAGATATGCTCAATTCACTGCTTATAGAATATATTTATTCGTAAACTGAACGTATATGATGGAACAATAGTGCATATTAAGCTAATTTCACCTATCGCAAATGACAGCTGGTAATAAAGCAGCATTTTCTTTTCCAGCCCTCTTCGTGGTTAGAAGTGAAATCTTAGCTCCTCGATGACCCTGTTTTCAACTCTGATTCTCAATTGGAACCCATGACACATTTTTATTTTAAGGCTGGCAACTCTGCTTATGGCGCGGACGCATAGCCCCGTCGCAGCGCACTGCATGCTGCATGAATCATAAACAATCCAAAATAATAGAGGTTCGAAATTACCAGCCGCTTTTTAATAACTTCTCTCTATTGTTGAAGATAACGGTGGTAGTTTTATGAAGAAAGGGTCTGCAGGAGAAACCCACAGCCTTCGAGTTCTGATATTGATTCTAAGATACCATCTTGTCATATTAGGATAGGCCTTATCATCTAAGGAAACTAGCCGAAAACGTGAAGAAATTTAATTGACAGGGCAATCGGAGATTTTAACAAGTCTTATAAACACAGATCAAATGGATATCCTGTACAAAGGACGTCATTTTTAGTTTTTCCATTCGACCAATGCTACGAAAAAACATTTATATCTTGTTCAGGAG